TAAACTTTTAATTCTTACTAAATACCATAAATTGTGCTTATATGTAAAGTTGTAGCTTATATTTAGAGCTACAAATCAGTATATGATACTATATGCCGATCATTAATCGAACTCGAACCAGACTCGAACTCGTATAACAGTTCAGTTCGAGTTCGGTTCAAACTTCAAACCTTTCTTGAACTCAAGCCAAAGTCTGGTTCGAGTTCAGTTCGAATTTTGAACCGAACTCGAACCCGGACAAAAGTCCGGTTCGGTTCAGTTCATAGGAACACTACTTCTAGCTAAAAATAGATTTTGTTGTATATATTTTGACAAAAATAATAATTATCTATTAATAATGAAAGTTGCAGCAGATTCTTATCAGAAAGAAAAAATCAGAATGGATTAAGAATTTTAAATTAGAATAAAAGAAATTATTTAATAATTCATTATTAATACATATATTTTACTAATATAAATCAATAGATTTGCAAATATTTTGGATGAATTATACAAGAATTGAAATAGATATCACAGTAATAAAAAAGTAATAATTTGAAAATATTATATAAAAATTCTTGTTAGTTATAATATTTTGTGATTTATAATATATTTAAAAAACCAATTCACAAATTATCAGAATTTTTTTATATTAAAATAAAGGGTGAATCTAATTGGAACATCCTGTTCCAGGAACTATCTCGGAAAATCAATTTGACCAGGGCTGGAATTTTAGAATTTTTATTTGATTGGTTATTAAAAATGTGATATATCGTGATTTTTATTGGGTGAAAACATGATAATCATGTGCCTATTGTAATTTTTATTGGGCAAAATGATTGAATGTTGGTGATGATGATGCAACGCTATTACTATTGATATTACTACTAGTACCATTACCAACATCCAAATGATGTTTTGATAACGGAGTAAATCTTTGTGATGAAAAATTAAATCTTGATACATATTATTAGTGACGCCAAATATATCATGGTGATCTAAATAAAGAGATGTAATTTGAGTTGTGTAGTTAAATAGAGAGAATGAATGAATAAAAAATGTGTAAATACCTAGCGATTTTGACATGTTGCGCTATTGTGTCCTGTTTGATCACATGCACTGCAGGTGTATGTGCGTGATTTTCCTTTTTTTTCGGTCGCAGATTTATAACGTTTGGTTTCTGAACGTCCCTTTCATCTTGACACTAATGGATTTTTAATTGATCCAGGTTCATTTTCCTTGTTTTCATCGTTAGCTTGGATTTCGAGGGGTTCTTGGAGATTCCAATTTCGCACTGACCCGGTAAGTGTAGCCGCTGTTTCTTTATGCCAGCCAATAAACTCTTTTAACCATGCCACCATCTCACTATGGTTACCGTAATCAACAGCAAGCTGGGTTGCATGTCACGTCAGTCCCCACACCTCTCCATATTTGATTTTTCGTTGTGCTGCATGACGTAAAACACACATCATGGACTTGGATATAGTCGAGGAATTTGGCATTAGTATTTCGTTCAGTTGATTCTTCACTGATTCTTGATTCGCAAAACAGTAGGTATTCGTAATTATATCCTTGTCTTTTTGTTCATCATTATATCACCGAATAGGTACCATTTGAATATGAAATCCTGCGACTTTTGAATACATCATCACCTGAAAATAATGGTGACAGATGATGTCACGAGATATGTTCGACATGCACGAACATAAGTAAGAAATAGAATCAACCACTATCACGAAATGCGAGTGTTTGCTGTTTCTGGGTTACATATCTTTAATTTTCCACACTTCTCGAACATTTTCTTTGCCAACTTCAGCAATTATTGATTTCAATAGAATTTGTTTGGCATCATATGAATTCTCAACAAATCCATCCGTCACAATAAGGTTGGAATCCTAAACATAATAAAGTGTTAGATTATATCCAAATGACTTCAAATATTTGTATTTGATTTGATTTACCTTGTCATTATTATTTGCAATATTCATTTGACTTGCAACAAAATATAGACATTGCGACATTTCCAGACGTTCTGCAGACAATATGTGGAGGGTGAGATATTTGGACATTTTTTTGTCGATTTCAGAAAAAAAATCGTGATTCACTGACACAATTTCCATACAAGATGACATAGTCTGGTATTCAAAAAACTGATTCCACTGTGCCTCATCTTGGAGTCTTGCATCGAGTGCATCAACAAGATCACACAAACTGCTACTTGCTGTTAATAGACGTTTGACAATGCTGTTGAGGTCTTCGACACGAGAGGTAGTTTGAATTTTCGCTGTGAATATTTTTGATATAAATGCACGTGTCCACACTTGTTGGCTGGGGTAAAGCGCTCTCATCAGGTAATCTTTAACGTTTGAGTACTTTTTGGTAAGTTGTGATCATCATTCATAGAAACTTTCTTAACACAGGCTGTTGCAGCATAGGAAAAAGTCATGGACAAAGCTTTTATATTGGCTATGAAGCTTAGATTTGAGATTTTTTGATAGGTTTTCGCTGATATGAAAAATGCAGTGAACTGAATAGGTGTTTTGATATGTTTGTCTGACAGCGGCATCTGCTGCAGGATCCGCATCCGTAATGAATACTAATGACTTAATCATTGTTACTTTTTTTGTGCATTCCAGGATCCATTTATAGGACTCTGTTGTTTCGTTTGACACGAGAGCTTGTACGACAAGACGTAACCTAGTGTTGTTGTCCACAATGAGAAAAAGTGAAAGTGGTATTTGATAACAGTTGGTTTTGGCGGTGTTGTTATTTAAAATGACATCATAATACTTTAACCAAAGAACAATCTGCTCTGGGAACATCCAAAATAAGTGGATAAATCAGTTTTCATTGTCCAGCTCGAACTCAACGGCCCATTAATGATCATATGATTTGCGTTCAAGGAGTGTTGTTAGCAGACGAGATGCATCCAGCTTTTCATCAGTATGGATTTTGAATTTTTGTATGATGTTTGAAAGATTGCGATCAAGAATAGATTCAGTTGGAAATTTTGCCTTTAATAACTTTTTTTGAGTGCCAATTGATAAATTTCCATTTTCAGTAAGAAATTGAATTTCACTAAGAACATCTTCAGAAATGTTTTGATATATCGAGGCGTAACGTTGAGTATCAGGATATAATAGGTGATTGTGTATATTGGCAAAAGTTGTAAGAGTTATGAGTGAGACATTTCTTGGGGAGTTAATATTGGCATGCCATTCGCACCCTTGTCATTTCGATTTACAATTGCGGTGATTATGAACGTCAACTTTTTTTTTGGTTGAGAATGGCCACTAAACTCGCATCTATAACTACGATGCTTTATATGACCCTCTGGATGTAGCTTTAATTTTTTTCAAACAACGCCAAATCCTTCTCGTTTGTCGTAGATTTTTATAATCTTATCGATCTCTTCCCATGATTCAAAGACATAACCAACACAAAGATTTACAATTTCATTAGAAGCATTTATATCTAGATAAAGGTAAGATAG